GTCACCGCCCTGCCCTTGCTGTCATCATCTTGTGCCTGCTGTTGCCATCCTCTGCCTGGTCGAGAGGGGGATGGTGGGTGAGTGGGCAGGCGAGCGGGCGGTTGTGGGTGAGTGGGTGAGTGGGCGGTTGGGCAAGCAGGTGGTGGTGGGCGATGGTGGGCAAGCGGGGGGCCATGGGCAGGAAGGTGCCCTAGCCCACATCCCTGTCGCAAGGGGAGGGGCTCAGTCATTTCGTTGCGTCGTCGTTGACGTGAACATGGTTCTGTGAAGGTAGGGGTTGGTTAGTAGAGATGTAACTACATAAGAAAGAAAAACACTTACCTTTTTTTGTGTTTCGGGGCTGTTTCGCAGTGAGGGGTAAGGGAGGTGGTGGAGAAAGACCAAGATCAACGATGTTCAACATCGTTGATCACGGTTCGGTGAATTCCAGCCACGCATCCCATTGGCTAGGACTTGCGGCCTGAACTCCCTCCGTTCCGTTGTCGACCAACAGAATGGCTCCGATGGATGCAGAACGCATCCTTTCTCTATTCAAACTTTCGTAAATTGTTATTAGTATCGAAATGCATCTCTACATGTAATTTTAACAAAATATAACCAGAATTAAATATTTTATGAGTGAATTTATCTCAGGCCCAGGCCAATTGGGGGCCTCTCTCCTCTGCATGTAAATTCCAAGAGGCAGAAGAAGCGAAATAAATATATAAAAATGGTATACAGACTGTATACTTATGATAGTATTGAGGAATGAAGCTCCCCTGGCCAACTTAGTAATTTTAGGATGTAAACTCAGAAACTGCCAACGATGGGGTAGATTCTGTAGCCAAACCAACCTATGGATGTGTCAAATATCAGACACCAGCTTGTATCATAGGATTTACATTGTAAATTCAGGCTAATTTTTATGTATGATATCCTTACTTACTGAAGGATCCAAAATGTGAGGTTACTGTGGTGTTTCAGCTTGTCAAATGAGTGGTATTCGAGGGGTTAGAACATCAAGAAGATGACGATCACCACGCGAAAATGATAACTCGAACTTTTTGCTCGTTCTTGGTCTCATATATCATTCGGACCTACATAAATACATAGACGATGATAAGTTAATCAATTACCGATGATAAATGAAAATATTTTTGTCATGTCTCGAGCGTACTGGCTCTTCCGAGGTCGATGAGCGGAACACGGGATGGCCGGACTGCCTGCTCCAGCCAATCAAATCGTTTACGGCGTTCACCAGATAAGCCATCAACGACGACAAGAGTCGTTGATCCTCATCTTCGACCACCACCTGGCCTCTCCCCTCTTCACCCAACACCCCAAACAACACCTCAAGACTGAAATAAACGATAAGTAATCTGTTTTATTCATGTTTTCATACTCTAATACACCTTTAATTCAACCTTAGGCCAACAAATGTCGACTTGAAGTCGACGTTCGTTTTCCATGCTTCTCTGGCCCCTCCCCTTCAATAGGGATGTGGGCTGGGGCAGGAACCCCATCCCTCCGTCTCTTCGCCTCACCTCTCGCACCCCTCCCCTTCTATAGGGATGTGGGCAGAGACAAGAAACCCCCGCCCGGGTCCCCTCTTGTGCCCCTCTCCCCCCCTCCATCCTCAAGCTCCCCACCACCTTCCACCTCTCATCGCCTGTGCCCTCGCTCTTCACACCTCCCCTTGAAGAGGGACAAATATCGAAACGAACGACGCATGACGGCGACGAATGACAGTGGTGATGAATGACAACAGCGGGCGACAAAAGACGACGGATGATGGACAGCAGGCGACAAATGGTGGCAGCGGCACGACAAGGATGGGGGCATGACTGGGGGCACCCTTCACCCTCGCCCTTGCCCTTCATTCGCTCCCCCGTCCTCTGCCTTGCCCTCTCGCCCTCTGCCTTGCCCTCACCCTCTACCTCGCCTTCTTGCCTCTCATCCGCCCCTCACCACCCTCTCCGTTGCCCTCTCGCCCTCTACCTCGCCTCTCGCCCTCTACCTCGCCTCTCGCCCTCTACCTCGCCTCTCGCCCTCTACCTCGCCTCTTGCCCTCTGCCCCACCTTCTCACCCCTCGTTCGCCCCTCGCGTCCTTGCCCTCTGCCTCGCCCTCTCGCCCTCTTGCCCCTCGTCCGTCCCTCATCCACCCCTCCTTCATCCCTCATTCACCTGCGAGCGATGATGACGTACGACAGACAATGACAACAACAACAACAACAACAACAGCAGGTGAGGACAGCGGGTATGAACCTTGCCCACCATTCTGACCCTCACTCCGACCCTCGCCCCTTGTCCAGGGGCCCAACGAGTGATGAAGGGGCCGAACAGGCAGAGGAGGGAGCAGAGGGGTCCCCAACAAGCACAGAAGGGGGTGGATCGGTCCCCCATGAGCAGCAGAGGGGAGGGAGAGGGGTTGGAAGTGGACCCATGAGTACACGAGGGGGTGGAGGGAGCTCCAACGAGCACAGGAGGGGGTGGAGGGGACCCACGAACAGCAGAGGGGGCAGAGAGGGCAGAGGGGCAGGGGGGGACCTGGACCCGTCTCCCTGAGCAGAAACGGTGTGTTATAGCACGCCATTTCTGCTCATTTTACCTATATTTTATAGCGGGTGGCCCTACTAGCCACCCGCATCCTGTATTTTTTTTCCTGTACAATTTAATATCATTTTTTTGTGCATTTTTTGCTGCAAAGGGCAGGGGAGCGGAAACAATGCATACGATGTGTTGTTTCTGCTCATTTTCTCCTTATCACATAGTGGGTGGCTGGTAGAGCCACCTGCACCATGAATTTATTTTATTTCAGTTTAATATGATTTTTTGCTATTTTTTTGGTGTACCCTGAGCTCGCCGGACATTGTGACAGACAACGGCGAGAGCTTTACAAGAGATGTGTCATTCCATAATCTAAAAATAGTACAAGGGCCTGAAAAAAGGCCACGTCATCCAAACACACCTGGCCCAATCCACCCATTCCTGCCCCCCGACAATGGGGGAAACGGTGCATAGCGACGAGGAAATATGTTTCCTCATCGTGGACAGCTTTTCCCCATTGAAAACGGGGGCGGGAGCACCCCAAACAATGAAGAACAGTGTCCGAGCACTGTTTCCTGCATTATTTGCATGTATTGACATGCCCCGCCCACAGCCGCGAGCCCCGGCACACACAGCAAGGCCCTCTCCGTAGGTGGACTGTAAAATCACAGTCCTGACATATAAGCATACCTTGTTAAAATATGTCTGATATAGATTTCTAGCAGACATGGCTGTTTCTTGGAAGAATAAAATATCAAATCTGTTTTTACAAATTTCGAGAAGAGTGTCTATGTGTGCATATGTGTGATGAATGTTCTGACAGTAAATACGTAGCCCACTATTTAGATCCTGTAGGTTTCCCAAAGAGATCATTCCCCTCAAACCACTCTTGGAGAGCGCGACAGACTGACAGACTGAAGGCCTGGCCAGAATGTATGGAGGGGTCTACCGCTCTGTGGGCTGAGCCCATAGAGTCAGTGAAGACCATGATATGTTGGCAGTTTGCCTTCTTGACAGCAAGGCACACTGCACATGCAATGGCATTGAGTTCCACATCAGGGGCGGTAACCCTGCCAGAGACATAGTGAGTCCTTTCGAGCTCACGATGTCCCTTGTAGATGATGGCAGCCGAAGTTGCCTGATACTGGTTGGACTGAGGGACAGAGCCATCAGTTGCAGCCAGTACTGTTGAAGGATCGGCCCTCGCATTAGTGATGAGCTCATCAAGATACGGGCACCTATCCTGAGTGGGATTGCGCTCGACAAAGTGGAGACGGTCCGCATACTAAATAAGAGCTACAATACGCTGTTTTTACAATGCCAACAATGTCAACTTCAACTCATGAAAATATCCTATCAGATGTCAACATGGATGCTGACAGTGCTACACCATATTCCTATTCATTGACTAAATTCAAATTGTTCAGGCCCTTTTGCATCAATTAACATCAATACTATTGTTGATATCATTGAGAATATTCAGTATGGTATTGCTGCTCGGATTGATTCTGACTCATCTCGTGCGAGCAGGGTGGGTTAAGGGTCTCCAGACTAGCGCGCTGGCTTTTGACATCACGCAGGTCTTCCCTTCTATCAACCATGACATGTTCATGGCTGTTCTTCACAAGCAAGGATTCTCGCCGATTTTGGTGGAGTTCTTTGCATCTTATCTTGTTGGTCGGTCCACAGTTTACTGTTGGAACACCTTCCAATCCGACTCGCGGTCTGCAGACGTGGGCATCGGGCAGGGCTCAGCCCTCTTGCCTGTTATCTCAGGGCTTTTCATTGCTCTGGTAATGAAGCTCTTCTACATCAAGGCGGTGCCGCTCAACACGATGCTGCTCTCCTTTGTGGATGATGGGACCATTCTGGCCCAATCCAAACAACTCCACAATAATAATGTGGGCTTGTGTAAGGCCTACAAATTATCTACCTTCTTTTTGTTGCCTTCTCACTCGTTCTTGAACACGACAAGACCAAGCTGTTCCATGTTTCACGTCAACGAGATGCCTGTAATCCCTTGCTGGATTTGGGGTACGCCCCGCATACTGGTGCTACTCCTTTAAAGCCCAAGACCTTTTGGAGGTACTTGGGCTTTTACTTTGACTGCGGGCTCACCTTCCATGAGCACATTTGCTACTATGCCACCAAGGCGTTTACCACCGTGCAGGCCATGTGCATGCTCGGAAACTCCACCAGAGGTCTCTCGCCTAAACAGCGCCGCCTCATATATAGGTCGTGTGTAGTTCCCATTGCCACATACGGTTATCGTCTCTGGTATTTCGACGGTGCCCGTTGTAAGGGCGCAATGAACCAGCTCAAACGGATGCAGTGAAAAGCTGCTCTTTGGATCACAGGTGCGTTCTGCACCTCACCCACAGGCGGTCTTGAGGCCCTCGCTACCCTCTCAGACACTCACCCTCTTTGCTCTATGATGGGCGAGGGACTCCTTAAGCAGGCTGCACCACATGCCTGCTCAGCCACCTTGATGACCCCAGCTATGCGAGGGAAAGTCAAGAGCACTGTCATGGAGGTGGACGAGCGTGTCCACACCTTAACTGAGAGCTTCGAGCCTTTTGCGCCCAAAGCTCGCCCAGGCAATCGGTTACTGGACCGCTATGTGGACCGTCTCCACTTTGACGAGCGCGATCCTGCCCAGGATAAGCGACCATATCTCGACGAGCTCATCGCGAAAGCAAGGGCCAACCCTCTAACAGTACTGGCTGCAACTGATGGCTCTGTCCCTCAGTCCAACCAGTATCAGGCGACTTCGGCTGCCATCATCTACAAGGGACATCGCAAGCTCGAAAGGACTTGCTATGTCTCTGGCAGAGTTACCGCCCCTGATGCGGAGCTCAATGCCATCTCGTGTGCAGTGCGCCTTGCTGTCAAGCAGGCAAACTGCCAACATATTATGGTCTTTACTGACTCTATGGGCTTGGCCCATACAGCAGTTGACCCCTCCATGCACTCTGGTCAGGCTTTTAGCCTGTCAGTCTGTCGCACCCTCTAAGAGTGGTTCGAGGCGGATGATCTCCACCGCATCACCTTTGTCTACGTTCCGTCCGCTATGTGGTGGGATATCCATGGTGAGGCACACAAGTATGTCGCCAAACTTAAAGTCAGGGTTGGACGTCGCAAGATGGACAACTCTATAGACACGCTCTGCTCCCAAGCCGCACACTCAGTCCTGGACTCGTGGAGTTCCACTTTCCAGGACCCAACCTACCGAGGCTCTGAATTTTTAGAGCTTCAACAGCCTGACGGGCGGCCGCTACAGCCATCGTACCTCAGTGGGGGACCTTGGCTTTCAACCTTGGGACACAGTATCACTGAGTTTGCTCGCGTTTGCCAGTGTATAACTGGCCACACACCCATTGGAGCGTACTACCGTCACTTGAAGATCAATGAGCCTCATGGCTGCACTTGCAGGGCTGCTTTGCAGTCTCGCCAGCACGTCCTCTTTCGCTGCCATGATCGATACTCTGTGCACTTTCCCCGCTTCCTCAGGGATATTGCATCGTTTATGAAGTACAACCCTACAGCGTTTGGCTTCAACCGAGACCCCTCGGGTGTCGGATGATCGCTGCAGGTGGGGTTATTCCTCCTTTTGGGGGATTTAGGGTGAATTGACACCACGGACCTTAGGGTTCGGCGACCTGAGCCAGCTTCACTTTTTCGTGCTTGCGCCCTATCATAGGGTGCAGCTACCG